CCACGCACGCACACTGGTTGGTGTGCCATTCGCCAACGCAACGCAACGCAACGCAACGCAACGCACGCACACGTCTTGTTGGTGTCGTCGTGGCACGCGCCCCTCTTCATCAGTACCCAGTGCCGAGGCTGCCGTGGGCTACCGGTGGAGGTGGGCCGCGACCGGTCGGTTGTCGACCTTCAGCGAGTCGGTTTCCATGTGCGGCGAGCTGTCGTTGCTCAGCCTTGGTTGGAGCCTGCATGGTGCGACAAAGAAATGAGTTTGTACACACGACACACACACGACACACACACGACAGGCATAACTGAGCTCCAGTGGTGCGGCACCACGACGACTGCTGAACGGGTGACGGAGCTGGGAGGAGGTTGTGTTTGGTACCACACAGAGTAGCGCGGGGCTCCCCGTTCTTCGCCGTCTCCTTGCCCATCACCATGAATCGGTGGAACCGCATCTGGTCCTCGCACCCGGCAGCACCTCCACCAGGCCCTCACCTTGGCGCGTCATCACGCAAACAAACAAAGAAACAAAGCAATAGAGGGAGAAAAGAGAGAAAGAGAGAGAAGGAGAGAAAGAGAAGAGAGAGAAAGAGAGAAGAGGGTCGTGGGTAGTACCCTCGGCTCCGGAGAGGAAGCTCTTGCGAAACACGAGCGAGGAACGGAACGCGTCGCGGTCCAGCACCGTGTGCCATTCTGATGCGCCAGGTCCACGTGCATCATCCGCCGCCACTATGCAGGTTGCGTGCGCCCCGCTCAGGATCAGCAAGACGGCCGCTCCCGCTGAAGACACCGCATCGGTCTACATCGACGAGCAGCCCCTCGATGACTCCCAATCGGTAATCAGCGCACGTCATGCCGTGTGCCGTGTGCCGTGTGCCGTGTGCCGTGTGCCGTGTGCCGTGTGCCGTGTACTTCCTCGCTCTTGTGCTTGCGTCCGCCATAATTCGCCGATTGGTACGAACCCTCCCACGGCGCGCCCTGGGCCGGAGGCGGAAACGTTGAGCTTGCCAAGTCATTCGACTACTTCTGAAAGCGAGCGTACGGCGTACTACCACCACACCTCGCCGACCGCATGTCGTCAACTCACTGTCGTCGCGTTCGTTTGGAGACGTAGGAGTCGTGTTCCAGGAGTCGGCGGGGTCGTCCATGGTGGCGTGGTTCGTTTGGCTCGTGCGCAGCAGCCTTTCCTCACACAAACCTACCACCAGTACGCCTTCACATGATCCAGCGTGTCGTGTTTCGTGTTATGTCGCTTCGTGTGTGCCCTGGTGGCTGAATTTAGCGCGCCTTTTGTGTGCCGCCTCACACACAGAGCCTGAACGTGTTACACTGACCCCGCACCACGCTCACTCGGTGAGTGCCGGGGTTCTCACCACGTGTGTGTGTGTGTGTGTGTGTGTGAGCGTGTGTGTGTGTATTGTGCGTGTCGTTGCGTCGTCGATTTGCAGTCCAAGTCGGTTCGTCGCTGCTGCCTTCAGTGTGTGTCGTGTGCGTGTCTTGTGCCCGAGTCCGTTGTTGCTGATCCTCTCCGTGTCTGCGTAGATGAGGGATACGTCCAAAAGAAGTTGAGGAGAAGGAGCTGATGCGCGGGGCGGCGTGTACAGCAAGGAGGAGATATTGGTGCGCGTTGTGATGCTCGGGCGCTTCAACGAGGCGCTCACCACGGTCCTGTCACTCCTCGACCTAGCTGGGGCCGATCGCCGCCGACGTGGATCATGCGCTGGCCGGTCGCGCCGTCGTGGGACATGGCCCGCGCCGCAGCCCTGAAGGCTGAGCGAGGCCCCGGCCGACAGGGTGAGCGCGCCAACGTCACCAGTGACGTTGTACGAAGCCCGCGGCGCCGCTCTTGATCGACAAGGTGCCTAAAGTTGACGGTGCCCTGGTTGCGGCTGGCGGGCGTGTAGTGTGACGGTCTTCTGCGCGCTCGACGTGATGTTGAGCACGCCGCTGGCTGGCTGGTGGCACCGAGCGCGCCTTGGTGGCTGGTGGTGAAGGGTCAGCACAACCAGCCCATCGGCTCAGCGCCGCGTGCGTTGCAGCGACACAGAGGCTTGGCCGAACCTGGTGCACTCGTCGAGGACGGAGCATGGAGCGGGTGTGTGTAGTCCTCCATAATTATGATCTGCTGGGGATTGCCACCGAGTGACTCCACACTGTACGCCAAGCAAAGTCAAGAAAACGAGTGAGCGAGGTTCTTTGTGTGTGTGTGTGTCGTCGTGTGTCGTCGTGTGTCGTCGTGTGTGCATGTTACGTACTAGCGGCTGGCGCGTGGGGGATCGAAGATGGGCGCGGTGACAATGACCACATTGGTCCACGCAGGAATCGATGACGCCCAACACCGGTGGTGTCCGGAAGCGGAGGAAAGGCGAAACGATACGCACCAACCGTGGACGACGATTACGGTGTTGGGGGGGGTGAGTGAGTGCGATCTCCAGCGCCAGGGGGGAGGGGATATCAAGGTGTGTGTCGTGTGTGTGTGTGT